TTTCATTTTTACCAGTGAGTTCTCTACATTGAACTCCCTGTATAGTGAGTAGGGAGGACTGAATGAGTCATTGAGTGAATGAGCCCAGTCACCTGACTGCCACCTGTTCACCTGTCTCCTGTTCTCAATCACCTGAGCTTCCCTCCCCACTCACACACCTGTCCCCTGTTTCCTCATTTTCTCAGCCAGTACTTAAACCAGTCAGTTCCACCAGCTCCTGGTCAGATTACCTGCGGCTCTTTGTGTTTTACCAATGTGCCTGCTCCCTGTGTGCAGTAACCTGTTGTCTTTACCTGCCTGTTTGTTCACCCCCTCTGTCTATAAGCCAGAATTTGTCCAAGTTCCTTCACTGCACCTGCCTTCCAGTATGTCTGCGCTTATGCTCCCCCCCAGTTTTCATCAGTTTCATCTATAATCATTTCCAAATACAACAAAAGAGAGGGTTCAAAGATAAAATTCTGAAAACCTATCCACTGTGCCTCTAAACATCATAAATCAAACCACACAATCAGATGGGCTTGGCTCAGTCAGCCTCCTTTGTTTCCCAGCCAAAGCGGCCACATTAATTCACTGTTTTGGTACTCAGTTGTATGCAAACTAACTATGGCCAGGGAAAATAAGACAGGATAATGTGAAGACCACACTGGCTGTCTCCAAGCTGAGCCAAACAGCCAGGAGAGATTGAATCGTCTGAGCTTTTTGACATCACTCACTTTTTTTTAATTACTCCCTTTGAGAGCACATCTCTCCTCAATCCTCTGCTGACTGGCTTTTGATCAGTAGGAGCCTACAAAGGTCGACGTGTGTGTGCATACATAATTAAGTAAAAGTGAGTGGGGGACACCTGTGTTGAAGCTGCGTATCAATAAATCATCAGAGGAGAAGTAGTTGTTTGAAAGGCTGCTAAACAACCATTTGGGTTGAACTGTTGTAGAGCAGAACCACAAAGTCAATAAGATTTTGTTTTTTGTTTAGGACTGTTCTGTCGAAACTGCATAACATTGTTAGGTTGATACATTAAATGCCTCCCACAGGCAAATTTTCTCAGTTTTCCTAAGCTTAAACAGTTGAGCCAGTAATTAATTCTGTTCATTCTGCAGTTTGTTTCTGCAGTCCAGGACGGAGATTACCCTGTGTAACCTGTTTGTTTTTGTAAACTGTAATGAGCACAGACTGATTAAGCAGAAAGGTCAGTGACAGAAAGAGTCAGACTTTGCCTGAAAACAAATGTTCAACTAGCCGAAAGACATTTTTGAGGACAGAGGACGGTTTTCCGTCAATTAACTTTTGGCTGAAACTGACAGACCTGGTAGTGGTATCCTTTGGGTCATACTGAAGGGCATACTACACTTTCGCCCATCAGTTTCACAGCACTTCATTTCCTTATTAAAACATCCCTTGGGTTGTTGCAAATTGATTGGTCATAGATTTTTTTTTTTACCCTCCACCTTTTTACCAGCTCTGTGAGACTCTACTTTGGCACAGACAACAATGTTAACATGCAGGCATAATGTTTACTATAGCTGTGTCCCAATTCAGGGGCTGCATCCAGCATCACGACTAGGCTGTCCCATTTGCAAATGCAGCCTTCTTTTCCTGGACAACGAAGGATCCAACAGGTGGATCCTTTTATCTTCAATGCAACAATGGAGGATAGCGAAAGGATACTAAACATAGAAACAACCTCAATTGACCACAGCATCGTTTTGCGGGTTGCAATACTAAAAGTATAGTACAATAACTAACAGAAATGTAACAGGCTACAGTGAGCTTGCTTGGCTGTTTAAAAATTGCGGGTTTGTTCATTTTGTCGCACAGGGTTAGAGTTAGGGCACAGTGTCGCTCTGTGATAACAAAACATGTGAGTTCAGCCAGTAATGAAATGGGGAAAAAAAGGGTAATAGTACAACTGAAGTTGATCTTGTATTAGTATCTTGCAGATGTAGTGATATTTCCCTGGATAAGTGAAGTGTTTGATCTGAGCAGATCACCAAAGCGACCATAGCTATCTGTACAACAGTTCGTGACAGTCCATCCAATAATTATTGATGTCAGTTGGGGCCAAAGTAGTTAACACACATTATCATCCCTGGTGCCACGCTGCTAGTGTTGCTAAAAAACTGGTGCAGTGAACAAAGAGCACTATTCTTTCTCAAATGAAGACTCAGCTGCTCCTACTGTTTGCTGCTTTCATTATTCCTGCTGCATCCAACCTAATTAATCTCTAACATGTCAAAGGTTTGCACCACCAGCAAAAGCAACAGCAACATTTATGGTGACTGTGCAATGCCAACAAATGGGCTGCCTAGGGAAACCAAAAAAGAGAAATCGTGATAATAATAATGACACAAATGAAGAGAATGATGAGCAGCATTTGCACATGCTGAATAATACCACACGCCTAAAGTATCATTTGCTATTGTTTGGCTTTCTTCACAAGAAAGCAGCTTTGTTGTTGACAAGAGATCATTATCTAACAGTCAATCTGAAAGATAATAATCTCAGCACAGAAAGCATCATCACCATCTTTGAACATTAACTCTGCATCTCAAAGCCATGTAACTGCCATCTGTGATCAGCCCCTCTTAATCAAAAACAGGCTCATTTACATAGTTGGGCACTGAACATTGTTCGATAATAAATCCTTGTCTAATAAATCCTTGTCAGCCTGGGTCAGTTCGAATATGTTCAGAACCTACATGAAATATACATTTCACTTGATGCCAACGCAGTGGACAACAATTCCTAAAATACCAAAGGAAAAAGAGCTTTCACTAAGGCATCAACTGTAATCAAATCACAGTCATTGAGAAACTCACAGAGCCAATTCAATTCATATTCAACTCAAACTGAAACTGAAAATCTAATCTCAAACATCAAACGAATGAAACACTGGTAATAACACCTGGCACTTCCATACCTTCAGCATGACTGATCTAAGGACAATATATAGATGGAGATATCCAATTATACTCATAATATTTACAATTTATTCAGGATACAGGTTAATGTGCATATACTACACTTCGAGTTCCTGTACCTATTATACAAACTGAAAGCCAGAGACACTACACTGACAGTCTCACTCACTAATGTTGAGCTATAGTGACTAACAACAGCTTTTTCATTGTGTTGCAAGAGTTTTAGAGATGTGGTCGTTCTGTTCATTTTATAGGTTTATTTAAATGCTCACACTCACAAAAGTGGCAACACTAACTGTAGTCTTAGTCTTTAGTCTTCTAACTATAGTGAGAAAGTTAAAATGAGTTGTGTTGTGATAATCAAACTAAGATACTAAGACTTAATCTGAGGAATGATAGCAGCTCTGCACTGCTGTACACACAGTTAGGAAACCGAGTAAGGAAATCGTAAAGTCAAGTTTTGAATACTTATTAACCAAAAATTCTGACATCCAACATTTATGGTTAATTTACAGGTTAACTAAGGTATGGGAGAAGAAAAAATATCAACTTACTTGATGTTAAATAAAACAGATCATTAAAGGACTATAGTGAGCATACAAGTGATATATAATCCAAATGTTCAACTTAAATACAATGTGAAAAATAAGCATTTTTATCTTCATTATTCATTTAATTTATTACACTGCTTCTACATAACAGTGAGATTGGTGGATGTTTTGGCATTTGGAGACCCCTCCGGTGCTACAACAGAATCAGGGAAATGGATCAGCTCCTGGGCCAAAGTTAGGTAGACAAATCAGTTTCCCCTGGGATTTTAAGACCTTTCAGCTCAGCTCACATTAGAGGAGTAATCATCATCTACAAGTCTGATATGACTGCTAGATTCCCCAAGAGCAAATGCTTTTGATCAACCTTGACAAGTTTGGTTTCTGATGAGATCCACTAATCCATAAAGGAAGAGCTGTGGAATCAGTAGATGTCTTTCATTAGAAGACTGCTCACTCAGTAGCCTACTGATACTGGTAGTGCATATTTATTTTAGTTAAATGAATGTTGAGTGAATGAATTTCATTGAGTCTTCTTTATTGTTTACTCATTGGGCCCTTAAACCAGAGCCCCTGTATGAAGTGACTGTTATTAAGATTTCTTGTTGAAAAACTGCAGTCAAACCCATGACTTCTTTTTTTGTTTTGTTTTTTTTACTTCATCCTATTTTTTTATTATTATTTGCCTATACTGAGTCCCAGTAATTAATTATTCATCTTTTATTTATGATTTTTTTTTCTTTGATTTTCTTTTTTTCCTCCAATACAACTGCACAGGGCATTATTTGGCTACAGTAAATCTATATTAAATGGTAAGTAAAGCAATTTAAATATGTTCGACATGTAAATAGCACCACCTTAAGAAAATAAAATCTGCACTTCAGGTTTCCTTTGATGGTTTCCTTTAATATTTTATTATATCATTTATCTGTACCTTCCAAAACAAACCACAGTTAGAAAATGAATCAGTTTTGTGATGTGACAACACTATGGTTGAGGTTTGGTTAGGCTTAGGCACAAAAACAACATGGTTAGTTTCAGGGAAAGATGGTGATTTGGGTTAAAATAAGTATTTTATTTGTCATAGAACCATGTTGCTCATGCTTTAAAAAACAAACCTGTTGGTTGGAACCAAGTGCAATGTTTCTCATAATCCAGCAGATTGATGGATGTAAAACCATGGTAAGTGAAATATGGACTATGTTTGATATAAAACCGCCTCCAGGAACCACATAATAAATGTGTATAAACAAACTAGTTCTTTGGTTGTTAGACTGGCTGAAGAAATATCCTTAGGTTAAAGGTCTGGCAGTGTTTACTCCCAGTCATTGTGTTCACAAGGTTCAGAGATACTGTAAAGCTGTTGAAATGTCAATATTAACTTCATTGTATATTTTCTTTTTGTGTACAATACTGTCTTAAAACCACCATTTGTAGAAAACCTGTACTCAAAGTGCAAAATATTTCACCAGTCATCACCTGCAAAAGAGAAAAGACTTGAATTATTTATGACATTGATGCCTTCACCTACCTTTACCAGATCCTCCAGCTCAGAGGAGTTTACGCAGGCGTGCATGACCAAGAACTTCACTTTTTCTTCAAGAATGGCCGTTTTCTGGGAGCTCTCATGAGGCTGCTCCAGCGCTCTGAACACCGTTGCCCCAATAATTAGGTAAAACACCACCAAGAAAAAGATGGCTGATACTGTTTTCCACCTCATGACAGTTGTCCGGGTGTCGCACTCATCCTCTGGAACGTTCAGCACCACTGGTTTTGCCGAGAAGGACAGGCGAGGTTTGGAGTTGTGGGCGGCAGACTTGGGGTCAAGAAGGTCAGGTGCTGCCACTGTGAGGAAGGAACTGATTAATGTGGATCAATATCTATCTATCTATCTATCTATCTATCTATCTATCGATTGTTGGCCCAACCACTGACATAAAAGGCCACAACATATACCATAGGATTCATACAATTTAAGATTACGGTTGCAATCATTTTCATTATCGTTTATTTTGATTAATATTTCCTGGATTAATCAATTAATTGGTCTATTGACTGACAGGGAGAAAAATGCTCATCGCAGTTTCTCAGAGCACAAGATGATGGTCAGTCTTGTTTGTCCAAAAACAGTTCAAATGTTAAAAATAAATGTAAAAAGAAAACAACCAATCAATTAATCCACTAACTTTTTCAGATCTATATAAGAGAAAAATGTAATATATTGTGAGGCAATAACCATCTGAAGAAAGTCGGGTAAGCACTGAACTTTACTTTAAACTTCATCATCAAAAGCGATTAGAGAATAGTTACTACCGTTATGAGTCATTTATATTAAACTCATCCAGGACAAATCAATCACTGAGCACTATTTCAGAATATTCTCAATAACAGCCTTTATTTTATCCTCCTCCTTTCAACTGCCATTGAATCACAGGTTTTCAATCATGTACTCATAAATATTTGACACATGGGAACTTAATGTACCAGCTCCTGTGTCGTTACAGTTTCTCTCTTCATACTCTTATTTCTTTCCTTGATAATAAACCAGTGGAACAGCGCCTCCCCACAACATTTGCTGACCTGCAACGGGTGTAGGGCAATTTTTATTCACAGAGCGTTCAATGCACTGTGTGCAGAAGCTCCATACCACCTATAATTTAACAACATTAACATTCATACAGTCATTTCAGGACTTGAATATATGTATTTTCATCTCTTAGATTAGCTTGGTCTAATAATGGGAATCGTGACTTCTTCCTGGATTCAGGCTCCTTCATAAAATAGTATTCAGATGTTAAATTTGTATTTTCAGTGTTATGAAAATAAAGACATGCTTAGGCTGGGATTATCTATGACATAATTCTAATATGTACAACGGTGGAGCACGCTGCAGGTGGTTTCATTTTATTTATTTATTTATTTTTTGTGCTTTGGGGTCCCACAATATAAATGAATACAACGTCTGAATTGAAGCTCATAAAAAATTAAACAATCTGCTTGCTACAGTAGACGCAATTACATAATCATCCCATGAGGTCCAGATAGCCAGTATTTTACAGTAAACAACTTATGGACAGGCTCTGCCTCTCAATAATAAGATGAAACCATGTGAAATAAACCCTTAAAATAGAAATTCTTTTTTATGGGTTTTGTTAATTTAATGTTACATAATTACATAACTGTGCATTGCATACGTGCTAAAATACACTGTATGGCACATTTACAATAAAAGCTACAGTAAAAGTATTTTGAGGACATAAGTTCACGTCATTTTTTCTACCCTGTGAACAGCAGGTTTATACAAGTCATGCAGAACAGGTAATCTTTGCATCATTCTCGTGTTGGATTTCAACTAGTTGTTTTCGCACTTACTTCTCTACCATCTCTTCTCTCTTTGTTTCCTCATCGAAGGATCCTTTCCTCTCCACGAAAGTGCAAACAATGGTTGATCCTCTGACAGTCGCTTTCTGTCTCAGGTGCTCCCACTGAGGGACGTAGCCGCTCTCCACATGGTTTCGGGCGAGCTGCGCTTCCCCTCCACTTTACAATCTCCGGAGAAAATACATCCAGGACATCTTGTTCCCACCAAGAGACATGCTAAGACGGAGCGTAAAAGGAACAATGGCTTCCACGAAATCCATCCAGGTGTTTGGAGACATTGTGCCCCGTGCGGGGGGATTTATGGAAGAGGAGAGGTTTGGGTTGTACTGGTCAGAGGAGGTACTTAACCAGTGTGACACGCTGGATGCGCTGCGCACTCCCACTGCTCTGGTTGTGGACAGTGTGCGCTTCTGCTGTGAGAGAGGGAGTGAAGCTGCCTGCTGTGCAGCACTTCAGAGACTTCCCATGCTGCAGAATTTCACATACTAATAATGGATGACCATGATATGAAGTTTCTCCAACCTCTATCACAGCTGAGATTTAGATAGTGAGTTATACAACCGTTTTGCACAAACTATTAATATATCTCGTTGTACATTATGGTTATATATTATGAAAGACCCTTCTTGTTCCAAGAAGCTGCCCACTGCCTTTTCCTCAGAGCAGCCATGCAGAGGTAAAGTGGCTCAAGAGTACACATGTATTCCCTTTCTGCATTGGACAAAAAAAAAGAAGCTAAAATTGCACTTAGTATGTTACTAATTTTTGCTTAAGAGAACATTAACTTTCTACAATGGCCTGGATGTTACATCTAATCCTGACATTTGTTTTCAGTTTTTGTCTGGAGGGCATTTTGCTGCTGACAGAGGGAGAGAAGAGTGAGCATTTACTGGCGACCTCCCAGTCACAAGCACACACCTCACATCCAGGCAAAAGCCAGCTTATCAGAAGCAGACCTCAGGTTGCACTGACAACTGTCCTGAAGGACAGGCGTGCATTAATTAAATTCATCTGAGACAGTGTTTATGGCCTGTGTCACGGATTGGACTTAATTTTCACCTTGGCATGCAGGTTTGACCACTAACATGAAAACAGAGAACCAAGGGTGACAGAGATTTTCACTAATTTGATAGTCACTTGCTGCTCAGCTGCTTTTTCTGTCCTGGTGAGAGTGCTTGTATGTGTGAAAGAAAGAGTGTGTGTGCGTGAATGTGTCCACAATATTGATTGCATTTGCATGAGCTGCTACAGCTAATTGAATTGAGAGACTTGCACAGCTGTGATGTTTGTCTGTGGTGCTCTGACACACACACACACACACACACACACACACAGACGAATGTTCCTCTCTTTGTCAGTGAATCTCCAAAAAAACTATTATTCTTTGTGTAAGTGTTAAATAAAAGATAATGAAAGCGAATAACTCATAAACCTACAGTGGCCGTCACAACTATAGGGAATTACAATGGCATATCACAAAACACATGAACAACTCATAAAACAGCAGAAAATGATAAAAAACCAACCCAGTCTCATGTCAGTTCGCATCCAGGTACAAGTAATGTAGTCTATTGATTTAACGTACATTGATGTGAATTGTCAATTTTTTCATGACAGTCGGAATGAGATTTAGTTTGTGAAATAGTGAAGAAATGTAACGTTGTGATTCCTGTACAATCACAAGAGTTTTCTGTTGTTTTCATGACAGAAATGATACTTTTTAATGGTAATGTTTTGGCACTCACAGCACTTTGTAATGGTTTAGGAATTGAGACACAATATGTTTATTTATATTTAACCAAAACCACGATCTTTACCTAACCTTAATACAAAACGCTTTTATTATTCCTATTTGCCGTTGTGTTTTTTGATTTGTTGTTGTGTTTTCCCATCTCTTGTTGTGATTTGCTCTTCATGACCTCCATATAAACTCCATTTTTGCTGACATTTCAGTCTTCTAGTAGCTGAGTTTGCTGGCGAAACCTCCTCTGCAAAGGAAAGAAGGAGGAAAATGGAAAAAATATATATTGTGGTGTGCTGCATGACAGCAATAAACCATACAATGATTTTGCACATGCACTGTGCTTCACCTCTTAAAATGCTTTTAATGGATTGTGTCCAGATTTCAGTAAGTGCTTTGCTTCCTTTGCTCATACTTAGTCCTTTTCCTTTCTTCACATTATTTTCTTTTTCTGACCATCTCTTGACATCTTCTACTCGAAATGACTTTGAATCAAATGGCAGATGAATTTTGACAGGAAGTGATGTCTTCATCTCCCATCATCTTCGGTGAGTGTTGACAGTAAAGGTATGTGATATGTTTCTGTTTGACGGCTTTAGCTCATTAGTTCGAGTGTTTCATCCATCAATTCAAGAGGTAGAAAATCAATACCTGCTTCAAATGTAACATCATTTGGGGCTTATATGACCTGCTGTGTGATTCAGTATATAGCAGTGATGAATTATTTATGTAGTAAGTTTCTGTCATGGCCTCTACCTCTGCTTAGCATGCAGAGCCTCTCTCTCTTCCTGTGTCTGTGCTGAGTGTGTGTGTGTGTGTGTGTGTGTGTGATCACCTGGAGACAGGTGTGCCGTAGGCAGACCATAGCTTCACCAGCTGCAGCCCATCACATAATCAACTCCTCTACAAAGACTCAGCTCTGCCACATGATCGTAGTGCCTGTTTCAGTCAGTCTACGTTCCAGCCTTCATGTTTGCAAGTTTGCTCTTTACCTGCTTCATTTAGATTACCCCTGCTTTTCCTCTGCCTGAAGTTCCATCTGCTCCCCTCCGGCCCTGACCTCCAGCCTTGGATCTCCCTGCTCTCCCACTCTCTGGACCAGCCTGCCTCCCTTCACTCAGCCCAGGTCCAGTCCTAACCCCAGCCACAGCCCAGACCAATCTATCCTAATAAATACTCTTTTCAGTTCAAAACCTTTAAGTCTCCTGCCTCTGTGTCTAGCATTTGGGTTCACTAGCTCAGCCTTAACAGTTTCAAGTCTTTGATTTACTTATTTCCAAATTCTCTTCATTCTTTTTATAGACACACTTGGAAAATAAACCAGGCGTGGACACAGTTATGTTGAAGCTTCAGGTCTGAGCTTTTTTATTTTTGATTCACACTATCACTGTGTCTTGCATATCAAAAAGTCTTGTATATGTGTGTGTTTATTTCCAGTAATACTTTAAGTCAAAGACTTTCGAGTGATGGTTGTAGTACTGGATTTGATTATGTTGCTATGGTTACAGCTATGCTGTTATTGTAGCAATGGAGGCTGTAGCTACAGATGATTTAATGCATGACTCTCAGGGTTGGTTTGTTACACTGACAGCAGCATCTACAAAGCAGAGTATAACACTGAGTGTTAATTCACCCCTTTTCACCAGTAACCAGCTAGCTGTGTATTTCTCTTACAGGGCAGAGCAATACCGCAATGCAATCTGGGATGGAAAGCAGCTCATCATTCGTGTGCTGAAGTCAACAAGTGTTGCGAGTCACTATTAATCTGGGGTTGGCTGAGGTTAAACTTTCTTAGTGCTTGATGTCCTCCACAGAGGTCACAGGTCAGCTAGGATTCATCAGAACTCAAACAAGGTGGGATCGTGATTGTGCTGCTGAGGTATACTTCACCAAGGCTTCCGACCATTAATGCTGTCATGTTTTCCCAGTAGAGTGACAACACTTCAGTGGTACCTGCTGCGGGATTTGACAGTCTGTAAATCCTTTTGACTTTGTCAGTGAGGCTTTGCTTTACAGCTGTTCTTGTAACTTCTGCTGTAGTCTCCTTGAGGGACCTGCTTTCATCTGTTTTTGTCACATTTAGCGTGGGAGTATCAAGTCTTTTCTAAGCACCTGAACCTCGTGGAACATTCATGAGTAAGAAGTCTTTTCTTTGCGATGTGTTTTTGCTTTTATCATGACTTGTTTGTCCACAGTAATGTCCACTTCTTCTATCTACTTTTCTGATTATTTCCAAGTGGAGTTTGCAGTTAAACACACACAATAATATTTCTAAAGAAGGACACAAGAAGAAAAAATCCATTTAAAAGCCCATCAAAGAAACTATTGCGGCCCAGCTCATATATATAATGACAGAGAATTGCTTGCCAGCTCAAGTTTTTTTCCTGTTTATTACACTGTGTGGTGAAGTCACACACAGCAGAGCAGTGTAATGTGCAAACATAGTAATACGTTAAATGACCTGAATTTCCATTGACTTTGAAAGCATCTTATCTATGCGCATAATGTAGCTGCACAAAATTAAATTAGCGTTATTTAACATGAATGGAGCCTGACTGAGACTGTCTTAGAACTTTGATATTCATTCAGATGACAAAGTTACACTGATGGGTCTTAAGCTTTATGAGAAGTAATCTTACTTGCTAAGGAGAAGCATTTGGGAATTTCAGGCAATCCATTTAGCTATTTTTGTGCAGGCAACAGCTTGATGAATGCCTTTGACTCATTTTCATCTCATTAACAGTCTCCTCATCATGTGTAATCTCATGCATCAGCACCTTTTGTCCTTATTTGCTGACTGTTTGACTCGAACAGGACAGTTGTAACATGAAACATATGGTCTTTGTTACATTACAGACAGTGATCTTATTATTGGGGACATTGGTGCATTAATGAACCCTATTACCATAGTAATCTCTTCTAATGGCACAGCAAAATGCCAGACACTGGTGTAGTAAGCCATTTTACAAGTCACCTGTGACCTGTTTGACAAATGGTGCTTACAAAGTGGTTTCATACAGAAATCTGAAATCAATTAGAATTAAAATTCTGTGTTTTTTCAAATTTTATTTCAAATAAGAAACATATTATTTCAAAGATCCTCCTACACCAATATGTTGCATGATCCCCCGAGGGATAATGTGAGTGTGCTGTGTTCATCTTCTATATTGACTATATTTCATATTTTGGGGTGTTCAGTGAATGTATATGTCTTATGGACATGGTTGGAGATTAGCACCTGAATGCTATTATTCTAAATGCAGTTCCCTACATAGTTACAGATGCAGGGCAACGCAAACAATACTGCAACATTCCTGATAAAAGTTTGACAGTAAAGCTGAGTAAACATTATCTGCAACACCAGCAAACAAAAATACTGAAAATGTGATGAGTTTTAAGTGATCAAACATGTATATTTTATACTCTTGTCTGCAATTTTGCTTCGTACAGACTTCGAAGGTTTAATGTTTGATCAATAAAGTGCACCCCAACGCCAAATCCTGCTGAATC